TGCACGTGGCTGATCAATGGTACCAAAAAATCCCTCTGAGCTGCAGCTGTGTGGAGAGGAGGAGGAGTGGGGGCAGGACAGGCCCAGGGCTCCAAACGGGCTGGGGCTGCCTCTGGGTCCAGATGGATCCTGAGACTCTCCACCAACGAATCACTGCAGAAACATCTGTGAAGCTTCAAACCGAACCAGGACGCAGAACTTCGTCTGTCCTGATCAACTCAGACTTTGATCTGAGGACGTTTTTCAGGTCCAGCAGCTCAGAAACGGCGACTCTGCTGTCGATCATCACTGATCATCACTGATCATCACTGATCATCAATCATCATCTTTGATCATCAGTTCAGTTTCTGCTGCACTTTGATGGAATATTGTTTGTTTTCATGTGGACTTTTTATTTGCTATCCATGTTTTATCTGTTCAGCATCAGTTCAGCTGATCTGAATAATCTGGATTATAATTTTTACTCGGTCAGATTTTGTTCTCCAGAGGAACGTCAGTTTCCACCAGAGGGCGCCACATACAGCAGAACTGAGGAAATGTTGAAGTCTGAATAACTGATTAAAGCAATTTATGATTTATGTGTTTTAATGCTTTCATTTCATCTAGTTAGTAATTTATACCATTTTTAAACTCTTTAATTCAGGAGAAAAAAGCAAAAGTTTAATTACAATTTCATAATTTTTTTCCTCAGAATTATTGTTTCTGTTCTCTTTTTAAATATGAAGTGAAAGTTAAAATAATTCATTTAAATGTTATTTCTGATCCTCATTTTCTGATTGCAAGTCAAAGCTAGTTTAGCAAGAACTGTGGGGATAAAATGTGATTAATATAAAATATTGAATATTTACTTAAAATCAAGAGGAGAAAAAGATTTATCTGGCAATAAAGTCATAAACTATCTTATGGTAATAATTTTCCACTGGTCATCTTTAATCAGGAGGTATTTATGCTGAATAAATGTAATAATTAAAAGAGACCCAAAAGAAAAACTCCTGCAGTTTTTATTATTTCTAAAGAGTCTGAGTAAAAAGGGTCGATGTTTTCTGGTTGAAGACGAAAGCAGAAACATTGTTGGGAGTCGATTTTTGAACCATGTTTTCAAAGATGATGTGATTTATCTGTAAAGGTAAATCCACACAAAGTGAAAAATGATCATCTGCAGCAACTTGTGTACCAGAACTGAGGTCCGGGCGGGCCGCACAAAACCCTTCAGAGGGCCGTAAATGGCCCCCGGGCCGCACTTTGGACATCCCTGACTCCAGCCATGAAGAAAGTTTCTGTCAGGTGAAATCAGCCAGTAAATATAAAACATTACACTGAACAGTCGGGTTCTGGTTCTGGAGGAAACTGATCCGCCCGTTGATCCGGGGAAACGCCTCTGTGTGTGTGAGGAGCGCCGAGCCTCGGTGTCATGTGACACACACTCACACGCAGCAAAGCACTGTAAAAATAGCTTGGTGGGTCACACACACACTGCGGGTCAGTAAACAAGACGGACGGACGCCGAGCCTCAGGTAGGAACCAGAGGACGGATTCTGGGTCAGAACCAGAACTATGACCTCATCTGATCGATTGTTGGATTTTCTGATTTTTAACAGTTTGATTTTAAAAACCAAAATGTTTTCTGTGTGAGCAGCTAAAATTAGCAGCATGTTGTAATGAGCAGAACGGAGATTTAGAGATCTGAGTAAAATCTGTCAGATCAAATATGTTTGTGTTAAAACTGAACATTTCAGCTGAAACCATTTGAAATTCATTGAAATAGATAAAAATACAAAACTCTACAAGGGTTCAGTGATTCAATGATTTAAAATCCGTCTGATCCCACAAACCAGACCGACCCGGATCTGGCAAACTGGGTGGAAAGCAGAATCAGGCCAGATCTGGCAATGATGGGATGGTTCAGCTGAGGCGGGCCACACCTGGGTCAGTGATGTAATTTCTCACCTGGGCCAGTGACGGCAGGCCACACCTGGGCCAGTGACGGCAGGCCACACCCTGACCGGTGATGTCGCAACTGGGCCAATGGTGTCACACCACATCTGGGCTGGTGAAATTACATCACTGGTTCAGGTGTGATATCACCGGCCCAGGTGTGGCCAGTGTTGACACACCACAGTTGGGCCAGTGATGGCAGGCCACAACTTGCCCAGGGATGTCACATCTGGGCCGGTAATGTCACACCACGCTTGAGCCGGTGATGGCATTTCGCACTTGGGCCGGTGATGTCACACCACACCTGCGCCGGTGACAGCAGGCCACACCTGGGCCAGTGATGGCATTTCGCACCTGAGACGGTGATGGCAGGCCGCACCTGGGCCCGTGATGGCACACCGCACTTGGGCCGGTGATGTCACACCACACCTGCGCCGGTGACAGCAGGCCACACCTGGGCCAGTGATGGCATTTCGCACCTGAGACGGTGATGGCAGGCCGCACCTGGGCCCGTGATGGCACACCGCACTTGG